ATCCTACTGAATTTGATGAAAACTGAAGTCTCAGCACCTCAGAGGAACTCAATACCTTGCCAAACTTGGCCCTGCTTCATGTTAGTTCTGCAGCTGCCAGACTAAAGCCTGGTCTTTGTGTGAAAAAGAGTGCCTTAGGTTTAAAGCAATCTCAGATTGAATGGAGATGGGATATGTATTTAAATTGGTCCTGACTTTCACAGAGAGTAAGTTACAAGAGATCATAGCAAAATTTTTGTATCAAAATACATCTCAGAAGGCCAATTTTAAACACAAATCCAAGCCAAAACCTTCCCCAAGTTCAGAATAATCACACTTGGCATTTGAATTAGGTTTGCTCTAAAACGTAGCTGCAGTTGTTGCATTTGGAGCTTGTACTGTATCTGAGCTGATAAGATGATTGGGATGCAATTCAGGGAGTAACTTCTTTGCCAAAATCTCACTACTTTTTGTGAGCACTGTGAAAACAAAGGCCACATTACACTAAAATAGGCTGTTATTCAGGAATAGAAAAGCTTACAGCTATTTCAGCTCTGAAGACTTCACTGAGTTTTTACTATCTTACATAAATATAGATTGAATATGTTATTTTAGGCTGATCCACTTCAGCTTTCATTGAAATCAGACAGATGTGCTTGGAAGGCTAATTTTAGGCATTCAGCACTGAAAATATTGACACGTGTAGACCTCAAGACTAGGAGTGAGAGTTTTAGTTTTCTTCTGTATTACTTACTATTATAAGTATTTTAAAAAAAGCTTATCTTTTTGCTACCTGTAGTCTTCATGAGCTTCTTTGGTATATACCTGGAATTCTTAGGCATTTAAATACATCATAATGTACTGCTGATTTCCCAGGAGAGCTTCCCAGAGATGTCAGAAAAGAGGTGATTGAAATAGCCAAATGCTTAAGAAGAGATCTACGGGCCTATCTACAGGAAGAATATCAGGACAATTAAGGTAAATTGATTAAAAGAGTGAGCAAAGTAAAGAGATGAGGAGTTTTACAACCTGTTGGTAATTGTATTCCTCAATATTCATTCATCTTAAACTGTTCCTCCTCTGAGGATGATTAAGAAAATGATGTAGCCTTACATCTTRKAGAACTTACTCCACTAGGCCACACTTTATCCAACTAGCTAAAGAAAATAACACTGCCTGGGTACCTCACCTTCACTTTTCCAAGTTTGGTTGAATTAAAAAGCCAATATTGCCCTATATGCAACATTTCAAATGATCTTGGTCTTTTTTGATCCCTAAATTATTTGGGAGAGCATTTTGGCCAATTTTCCATTCCTCAGTTCTTCAGATCTCCAGGCAGATGAGTAGTCCTGCTCCTGTGAGTGGAGCCTCACTAGTACCCAACCTTACAAGAAAAGGGAAGTTCAGCTGCCAGTTACGTCTAAAACACTCCCAGGTTAGAAGTAACATGGAAGTTGTTTTAAACTTCCTGAAAAATTAGTCATATGTGAAAGGAGAAGGTCATAAAGACTTTTTAAAAAATCCTGTAAAGCCAAGAATATATCATATGTATCCTCCCTGCCACTCTCAAAGCTTAAATGTTCACATTGTTCTTATTTACCTTGAAGAATCATTTAAGAGTGTGCAGTCAGAATACCAACAGGGTTGTCATGAGGATTAACAAAATGACAACAAGCCAAGAGTTATTAAGAATTATTCAAATCATCCTACCTTCCTTATTTCTTTTTACAGATGCATATCAACCTATCATTGCACAGATGTAATCTAGAAGTGTATGCACAGAAACAGACATCTTATTGCAAAGTTATTGCAAACATTTCTGAGATGTTGGGTTCGGGTCACTATTCTGAGAATTTTGAATGTTCTCATTTATATTCCACCTGACACTGTGTAAACACTCAAATGTATAAGCCRTGTAGCCATTTTAATCATCCATTTCAATTAACCAGAGAAATGATTGTGCATCTATTTGATTTTCAGATTTTTCACCTTTTTTCACCTTGGCAAAAGAAAATGAWTTTGTATGATAAAATGAATGGGGAGAAGGACTTGTATCAGTTCACATCTGGGACTTAATACCTTCAATTCTCTTTAAAAGGAAATGATGCAAGAATGGTGAGATGAACTTAGAGCTAAGCACTTTGATCCAAAGACTGGAGTAGAGAACGGGCATCTTGGAAAATATGAATTGGCCTAAAAAACCCCACCATCAGAAAACCACCTTTCATCTCAGCTGTTCTGTTTATGGTTCTTTTAAACTGGTTTTGCCTATAAAAAATGTCTTCCTATTTGAACAAAATATCATCTTTCTTAGCACTTGACCAAGAGGAAAAGAGACATGGTTGTTACCAAAACTCCCAAGACACTTCTTTAAAGGAGCAGCTCACCTTGCTTGGAGCAGAGATTTACGTAGACGAGTTTTCCCGTCTCGCTGACTCCCAGCTGCATCCATGAGTGCAGGTATTTCTTACTCTGCTTGGCCATCACCTTCTGACCTTGTTTGGTGAGGAAGAGCGAGCTGTTGGCTACCTTCAGGAGCCCGTCCTCCTCGTGGCAGGTCCACCTGACTGCCTGGGAGCAGTTAGTGATGATGCTGCGGGACGACAGGGCCGAGCGGGTAGAGATGCTCARGCACTGGCCGGATTTGACATGGAGGAGCCGGTCATCCGCCGTCCACCTCCACTCCTGGCTGGGGCTGCTCATATTGCACTTCTCCATAATGACGCCTTTCTTTTCTGAAAGGCACTGCTGCTTCTGGACGTGGATAATCAAAAACCCTTCTGGAAGAGGAAAATTAAAAAAATATACATACGAAATAGATTATAGGTGACCRTTTAACAAAATAACAAATTCCTCATGATTTAAAATATATCAGCAAATAAATCTCTTCTTCACTTTCTAAATGGTGAAATATTCATGAACTTTTCACACGCTGAACCTATTAAAAAAAGCCCTCTACAACCCACATGATGCAAGTGATGGTTGATGGTAATATWAAGAGTGAGAATGCTAAAAGCAAACTTTGGTTGGTAAAGATCACCTTGACCTTCACTATATATGAAAAGGAAGAAAAAAACTGCATATGAAAGATGAGAACTATTGACTGTAAGTCCATTTCTAAAAACCCATTTCCCTTGCTTGAAAGCATATAGAGATCAACAAGAGCTCTCTGTTTGTTTTAGTTATTTGACACAGTCCTTTGTCAATATAATTCACTGCCAGGAAATCATTTCATTAAAACTCACAGTGTTTGTGAATTAAACACATAAAAGGACATTCCCAAATCCGTGTGCCTCATGGTGTCTGTGCTTTAACAAGAATGGTGGCTATTTACTGATAGGAAGCACCCCTCTCCTACTGGATTTACTCTAGTATCCCTAGCTGCTAGTTTTGGGACCATCCTAACTCACACCAGATTCATTCTTTGTGCTGCTACAGTTACACATTTACAGAAAACACTACGATGAACAGAACAACAAATCATTCCCCCCACCAAAACTGTTACCAGCATAAAATACCTACTTGTTAAAGAACACATAATCAGATATTTCACATGCAGTCTCAAAGCCATATTTTATTGAAGCTTTTCTCATTTTGTAATTYACCTACTCTAACATTTCCGGACTCATTAGCTATAAAGTGCTCAAAAACCCACATGTGTTTGCTCAGGTTTAATTCCACTCTGCCAGTTTTTAGAGAACTGGGCATTTTCTAACTAAGCAATAGAGAAACCCCCTGACCCTGGGATTTTCAGAGAACAGGAATAAAAAATAATCTCTCATTCAAAGAGCTTATCCCAAACCTTAGCTCCTAGACTCTCTAGTAGGAGACCATCTCAAAAAAAATAAATAATAAAAAAGAGAGGTATATCCAGCATATAACGAGACAGTTTACTTTCCTGTGCAAAGAAATCTAAACAGAACTGGCTATGTTGGCCCTGCCCACCCCCATTCCTCTTGGAATTCAACCAGTTTTCGTTGTTCCCCCGCCTCCCTGAAGGGCTCTGCCCCGGTGGCGGGGAGCGTTTTMCAGCAGAGGAGCCGTGGGGAGAGACACTTACCTGAGATTGTCAAAGGAAGGCAGGTAAAAACCAGGASGTGAAATAAGGAATCCATTTTCCATCTAGCAACGGCCCATGCTTCTCTTAAAAAAACCCACCTCAGATAAGTGAAGCGAAGGCTAGGAAGGAAATGTGCCTTCACAGGGGGAAAAAGTCAGTGACGAGCACTTCCTTCTATTCAATTGTTTTGGGGAGTTTTACACCACTTTGTCCTTTCGTATGGTTCTTCAGGGTTTACTAGTTGCTTTATTTTGGAAAAATACAGACAAAAGAGAGAGAGGTTTTCAGACACTCAGCTCACTTAAAAAAAACCAAAAACGATTCAACATTTGAATATTTTATTGGACTAAATGTRTGAAGAAAAGGGATTGTAATTCTGTGTAGTTGGTTGTCTGTGAAATACAAAGAGTCTGCAGGTGATCTGGGTTGTGCTGAATAAGTGTCATCCAGGGAACACATAGCCCACTTCTGTAATTACACATAATAAAGCAGAATCTCAGTACTGACACTTAACTCCACAAATTCCAAAAATCAGGTCTAGACGGGGAGGAGGAGGGGAAGAGGAGGAGGCAACACTCTCGTTTTGTACCAGGTCTTAGACAACCTCCCCCTGAGGGATCAAGTGATGCTGACTTTGTCTTCCCATCAGGTGATCCGCTCTGCTCACTATTAGCAGGGGTCTGTAGATGTCCCCTGCAGGGGCTCTCCAAAGGTTTGAAGTCATGATGGAGCTACCCAAATTGTGCTGGGCTGTGCCTGCTTACGTGGGTAAAAGAGTGTYGGGGGCGCATTAACCACCTAGGAAAAAAACACAGACACCCATACATATTTTATATCAAGTTTAATTTATTAGCAGTATGAAGCAAAGTCAACATCACTGTATTAAAAACTCATTATACCCTGTGAACAGATCTCCCAGTGCTTGCTGTAAGTCATAATGCCAACGTCGTACTTCTCCTAAGGAAAAAATAATCTTCCAGAATGTTAAATGCAACATTCATAGCAGCATTTTCCTTTTTGTATAACCTGTCATGAAACAGTTTGTATAACTAAAGACATCCATCTCTTCTGAAAGAGACAGAGTAGTTAAAACAACATAGGCAAAATATCCTTTATTAATAAAAGACAGACAAATATTTAAAATCCTTACCGTTTAATATATGCTACAAAGTTTCTTTTAAAAGTAAAATGACTTACACAATTTACAAATACACTGGATTGGGGTCTGTAGCAGAAGCATCTTCTAAGACAATCAACGGTATAGGGTAAATACATATACACTGAATAACAGACATTGTGCTCTGTAACTGCTCTGTAAGACCTACAGTAAGCATACATTTAATAGATAATAGTATGAAGAACATATATTTCCATACAAAATATTTACTGCTTTTGAATATTTTCAAAAACAAAACTTTTAATTCTTTATTATCTCCTCTCCTTTTTAAACCATAATTGAACACTTGCAATTTTAGCAGCAAGAATATTATGTGGCCGAGAAACAAGCCTACCACATAATCCGTAATAGCACTTTACAGTACAGTTGACAGTCCATTCACAAGACAGAGTTTGCAAACGTTAAAGCATTTATACACTTGATAAACATTTCTTCTTTAGAAGTTCCAATGTCCATCTGGCTGCAGCAGTAGTACATACATACATTTCATATGGCAGATATCAGTATTACAGAACTAAACCCACCTTTAGCTATATATGTGAAATCCATGTGTAGTTTCAGTACAGTACCTTCTTTATAACTCATTTTTGGGAAGCTCACAATACATTCATTTACAGCAAGGCTCGAGCAATCTTTATACTTTTGCCAAACTCTCCACAATCCCTTTGGAAGCTGGCTTCAAAGCCTCTCTTCCCACTGCAGTAAACTCCTTGAAGAAGCTGCTGGTAGGTAATGAAACAAATTACCTCAAGAGTCTGCCATTCATTTTACCCTCCTAGGCCTCACTGGACAGCTTCTGCAGAAAGTCTGCTTTCGTACAGACTCAGTGCGTGGTGCACAAATTCGTACTGTTCGCTGGTCTGCACCATTCCGCCCCTGAGAAGGAAACACCAGAGAAGGAAATGTTATGTCTTCAGAATGCAATCTCCAGCCGCTGCCAGCTCAGCCACCAGCAGGCCTTTCCTCAAGGCCTTTGCTCAATTCAAGGCCTTTTCTCAATTTTGGACTTCAACTTTGCTTCATTAAATGAGAGATTTGCTTCAAAATCTCTGCTAGCCAGCACACATATAGCATGAAGTATCATTCCTGATTTTGTTAGGATAAGAACTATAAAGAAAAAATCTGCCATCTACATTGTTAAAACTAACTTTTCAAATTCAACACTGAGTGAGTTTTGCTCAGTCTCTTGGGCATGGAGGGCCAGACACATGGAATCAGCATTGCTAGAGACAGGGCAAAGCAGTTTCTGACTCTGGCCCTTCATTCTTGTCCTTTACTAAAAATGTAACCTTCGGTGACCCTCAGATCGCAAGTACAGAGAACAGCTTTTCCTGTCCTCTTTCTAACGCCTACAATGCATCCTGTCTGAACAGCAGCCACCTAAGAAATTTTACAGCAATGACTCATTTCACACTAACAATACAGAAGAGTTTAACTTGACCATAAAAAGAATGAGTTACTGTCGGTTTGGATTAGATGCCTACATTTAATACATCCCTTTTACGGGTCAAATTATGAACATAAAGTCCCAAATCTTCAGCGCCAGTTGCAGTGTGGCAGGAAGGGGATGATGTCCTACAGGAATGGGAGCTTAGATGGTGTGATATGTAGCAGGACTAGCACCTTTCAGATCTGAAATTAAAGTGAGACTTTTTCTGGCAGTAGTTGGATCCTTCAGATCTCGTTTCTCATGGAGTGAGGRCTCAGGTTTGCTTAATTGCATTTTAATTATCTAATTTGTCAGGGTATTAAATGCAGTACGCTCTGCTACTAGGAACAGCCCCTCAGCTGATCCTCAGCTTACACGGGAAAGGGTACCTAGCTTTTTGGGGATGAGAAAGTAGACAGCTTTAGTGGCAAGGATGACTTTAAGGTAGGCATTGCATCTGACTTCAGAAGCCAGTGAAGGCTACGGATCATGAGTGATAGAGAAGATGGGCATCCCTCTGGAGAACATCTGACAGACCTCCTTTGATCACTTCAAGCACAACAGCAACAAAATCTTGGTCTGACATACAGAGCTGGACAAGAAATGGTAAAACTGCCTCAACAAATATTTTCCACAGTGACTCTGGACTGTCAAACAGTAGTGAAAAAGATAATCAAATAAAACCTATTTCTAAAAGCAAGTGATGATCTGTCTTTGCTCCACCAGTGAGCTCAGGGAACTGTAAAACACCTTCTAATGAGCTGCATGCTCACTATGATCTCTTATTCCCAGGAATTAAACCACAGATCCAGAAACGGTYTTAACAGGTGCAAAATACAGCAGCCTCTTCGCTGACAAAGACACSGACAAGTTAATGACTTGGCTACCTGCTGCCTCTCAGGGGCTCTCCTCTGTGCCTGTCTCCTGTCCTGGAAACCCAGAAAGAGTCTGCAAGGAAAAGGGAGGGCTTTGCTCTGCTCCTCCATGCTCCACGGCCTTCTTCCTTCCTCTCACTTCCAGTCTCCTGCCCAAGCCACCCCTTTCTACCCAGTTTCATTCCCTGCATCCCACTGTGAACCTTCTCCTTAAGGGAGTGCGTTTTCAGCTTCRACATCCGCTGTATAAAAGGGATGAAGGAAGGGAATGTATCCAGGGAGGAGCACGGGGAAGGAAATACAGAACAAGTGTGAGATGTGCCGTGCTAGGCTGTCTGCGGAGTGACCCTTGCTCCTCCYTCTTCTGTGGTAATCCTGGTCTCCACCACAGTAAAATTCCATTGGAGTGTAAGGAGAGGCTGCAGTCACATTCATCTCCAGTGCTGATCCTGGGCTGTGCAACTCACTCCCAAAGGGGACACAGTGGTCTCCCTAAAAAACGCCTGAAAACTGAAGAGCCTTTTCCTACTTTCTGGGAAGAAAGAAATTGCTGTTATCACCTGTTAGTAACCCTTACTTAAAGTAGCTCTCAGTAGCCCTAAAGCTGTCAACTACCTAGACAGAACACATTACAATTATTATTTTTTTAAAATCAGTATTTGTTTCAGTATTTCAAGTAGAAATATAAGAAGAAATATTTTGCAGTCCTGTTCCTTGACTCCAGTTTTGAGCTGGATGCAGCATATGCAGCATTGCCTGCAAAGACTCTGTTTTAACCTTAGGGTTAAACCTAAGCCCTGTTTAACTGACCAGTTTTAACCCTGTGATGTTGGGGGTTGAAGCTGGTGGGGGTCAAGTCCAGGATTGCAGCATTTGCCCTTTGCAGATGCTGCCTTTGAGCCCTGCATTGTCCAACCAGGGCATGTCTCTACCAGCCAGGGGTAGAGCCTCTTGTTCCCATCACTAAAGAGAGTATGTGCCTTTTGCCAAGTCTTAAGCAGACAGAGATTCAGACAATTTGACCTTGTCAGTCCGATTGTACATGGGATTTTGGTCTTGTGGAAGGGTCATATTTAACAGAAAGGAATTGCCTGTGATCTTAAGACATGACTTTGTGCAAAAGGCTGCATGGAAGAGCATTTCAGGAGGAAATCTGCTCAAGGGGAGGCTTCCTCTCCCGTGTCCCTCGTGCCGAGAAGGGATGTACCCCCGGCTGCACCTCCGCGTGAGCAGCATTCCCTCTGGGAGCYGGTGCTGCTGGCTCCTCTGTGAGCTCCCTGCTTGCTTGGGCTCTCTGGGGTCGTGCTGAGAAGCAGCAGCCTCTCACTGGCCTGTAGTCAGCTCTGCTGGGCAGCCCTGGGGAGGGAAGGGACTTGCAGCCTGCCCTCTGCCTTGCTGCTGGTGCAGCTGGATGCAGTCTGCTCCAGAACGAATGTGATGCCGGGCTGGTGATTTTTTTGTAACCTAAAGTGATTAGTCAAAACACTTAAACAATGCATTGACGCACACTGGAAACTCTTTTCATCCTGTCTGAGGAGCCAAAAGCGAAGCTATCGGACGTCATTCCAAGAATGTGCCTTTAAGGTTAAGAATGTGCAAAGTTTCTCGATATCAGAGTAAATTTTGAAGATGCCTCACATCAAGTGTTTCCTGTTTCTCTTGTAAAACATAAAAAATGAACTGGAAAAAAAAAAAGCTGTGAAGATCTGAGGGTCTGTCTTTCTGTGAAGCCATACAGAGTATGGCTTTATCTCCATGCTGGGTCAAGTTCTTGAGTGGATGGTCCATTTCCTCATGTTAGCTCAGCACAGATAACTGCTGCCAGATCCTTTCACTCCTTGCCAGCTTCATAACTTACACTGAAAAGCTGTATGAAGAGGACTTGGATCTATGGAGGGGCAGACAGTTATTCTAGTTTTCAGTTCTTGGCTTGCAGATTATTTTCAGCATAAATTTTGGCTACCACCTGCAATTTTCTTGGATACTTGCTTGTTTCCCAACAAACACACTACTCAATTGGAGTGTCTTGGTAAATCCCTACAGCACCCCTTGATTTATATCAAGGGGTTGAGTTTCTCTAATACTAATCAATTTTCCCCTCTCTTATCAATTTAATTCACTTTGGTGGAAATTAGGTTGTTGACTCATAAGGAAAAAGTTCACACACAAGTGGACACCATCAACTGTGCTTACTGCATCACTAGGCCTAGCTTGGATGGTGCAGCAAGTCTCTCAGGGAATTAAGTGTAGACAAGGTATCAGAAAACAGAATGATCGAGTGCACCTCTTGGGCAAGCTTCTGGCTTCCACRTAGTCAGATAAACCCAGCCTTTTCTGCTGAATTCTCTCTCGTTTTGCTTTGCAAGGGCAATCTGAGGTACAAAGGAAAATGRTAGCTCAGCTGCTGACGAGTATTAAGAGGAAGGAGTCCTCATCTCTGCTTCTGCTTGCTCCTGGTCTGCTCCAACACAACTACGTCTAGAGCCAGCTCTCGTTGTCAAGCCCGGAGGGATATTCAGTTCATTTTGCCAGCTTCATGCCACCTGCCAGTGCTCTCATGCCAGGACTCAGTCACCAGGCAAAGGTGGCCTCATGGAGCTCTGTGCACGTTATAGTGATGTCTGGTCACTGCATGAACCTGAGACCTGTCTGGACTGGCAGCGGCGGGACTGTAGTCTTAGACACTGCTAAGCTCTGCTTTAGTAATCTCTGCTGTAAACTAGATGCTAGGTGAGGTAGACCAAAATATAGAAAGAAAAACTGTTTGGTTACTAAGTTTTTCCTAGAAAAAATGTCTTTAAATTTCTTTTTTTTTTTAATCTCAGATAATTCCTGACAAAAAAGAAGRGCTAAGAGGCCTGTGCAATCTATTGATAAAATCTGAAACTAAAAAGAAATACAGAACTGTACAAAATCACAAGACTTGACAATTCTTTTAAAACAAGCTTTTTGTCATTGAGATGGTTGTGCTGAATGTTTGCATTTGGATCAGACTTCCATTCTCTTTCTGTATTTTTCTGAGAWACTTACACATATAAAAAAGTTTACTAATCAGACGCACTCGACATGTGGTCTGTTGTCCATTACAGTGCTGCAAACTGGTCTTTTCTTCTACATGGGAAATAATGACATGAACTTGATGTAGCTGAGAGCAGAGTTTGCTTCCACTTCTCTACATAGAGTGTAAGAGCAAGAAGAAAAACATTCTAACAGAAGCACTAAGATGAGGAAGAACACTATACACCTTTTTAAACAAATTAAATAGATAATCCAAATGGAGATTTGGAAATTTGGAGTAGATAATGTAAAGCAAAGGAAGCATGTTTTCCCTCAGCTCTTCCATCTTTTTGTTGCTGAGCTCTTAGGTCAGGAATTCTCATTGGAGAATTTTATATTCCAGGCTGCTCATGTTGCCTGAAAAGGCTCAGGCTTCAGTCTCTCCTATGACGACAGAGATGTGGCAGGGGAAGGTTAGAGAAGGTGATGCATAAACATGGTTGGCAACAGGGACCCTGCAGTTCTTTGCTCCAGTAGTTTTCAGAACTGAGAGCRCATGGAAGCTCCCGCATTGCCCCTTTGGCCTGAGCTTCTTTTTCATTGCTTTCACACTGCCTACTGGTAGGTTCCACTGAAAGAATAAACGTACATCAGAAACAGCTGATATACTTGAAAGGAGTATACATGTATATAAGGAAGTTGGTTATATGATCTGCTGCCTGCAGCAGAAGAGGAGCAAGGGTTCTCTATTTGTGGTGCAGCTCTGTTTATTCATACAAAACTCTGTCTCCCTGAGCAGAGAAATTAAGAAAATCATAACCAAACCAGCCACTTCCATTATGCACAATACCCACATCCTCCTTTCCAACACAAATCTCTCTTCTGCCCTGGTTTCAGAAAACAAAGTACTTTGCAACAATGCTGGCTTACTGTGTTCCTGCTCCCAAGCTGTGAATTCAGTCTGGGAATTGATCTTGACTTAAGAAAAATTTGCAAAAAATGCCCTGTTTAYCCAGCTTTTCTTAAGCTGGATAAGTTTGCCAAACCAATTCAAAAGAAGTCCCAGTACAACGGAGGGAGTAGCAATAACACTAGGTTTGGCGCTCTGTTTTGTGAGGAAACTATACACCGTGTAAAAGGGAATGTCCCTTTCAGTCCAGGCTTAAAGACAATCCCTTGTCTCTGGATTGCCTTGTGTTGCTGTGTCCTAGTGGCATGTCAGCAACCGCAGAAAGCTCCAGGATGGGATGAGATGGGTGTCAAATGCTTAGCAACTGTAGGACTCCCATCTCAGAAGAATTTCATGCAGGAAGTCTCATCCAGTTTCATCCAGAAAACAATATTCCTTAGCCAAGACCTAAATACAAATGCTAGTTTGAATATGCAACTAATGTTTTCATATCAGTTAACATAAATTATGGCAGTTACTTCATGTAAAGTAACATAAAATTCTGTGAAATGGCTTTTGAAGTCRCTATTGAAAAGGAAGCCAGGTTCAGTCTGTCTTTGGACAAGGAGTACGCTGGGTGCTTCACGACCTCTGAATGTTCTTCCCCAGCCCAACACCCCTTATTCTTTCAGTACCACGTGCCACTCATCCACTTTTGCAACTTATCATAAGAAAGTGCCAAAACTTTTGGCACTTTTGCAACTTATCATAAGAAACTTCAAAGCCTGAGTGTAATTGTGGTTGTGTTTTCTTCCCCCATTCTCCAATATGAAGATAACATAAGCACCGTTCAATAAGTTCTTCTCCTTCAAAGAATGCCCCACACTGATGTACTCCACTGACAAATGTTCAGCCAACTAGAGACTCCCTTTGAATCAACAACTGCAATATAAGACAGTCAAAATCACATGGGAAACTCTACTAAAAGCACACATTACAGCTCTAAAACTACTCTTGAAACACATGTATCGTCATAATGTATAAACAAAGACGTATCTTTAAACCAAAATTGTTGGAAAAAAATACTCCCCTTTCTATTTTTCTGTCAGGATATGAACATAGGATGCTGTATTTCTTTTGAGAGGGAAGAGTAGAGTTCCTACACTAGTTGTGCTCTTATTATGAGCCACCTCACAGATGGAAGGTCCTTGCTCTGAGTGTTAGTGATATAATCTCCTTGTACAAGAGAAACACAACAGCTGGAATTTAGGTCCTAGAAGAGCCCAAATATAAAAGGAAAGAACCCTCTGAGTATGCTTACAAAAGGAAGAGCAGGCTTTACAAAAGCTTTCTGTGTTGGACTAGTTCAGCTGCTGATTTTATACAGAAGAAAACTTCCTTTGGAATCAGCAGCGCAGTAGCTCTGCTTTGAATCCACGGGAAAATCCAACACGCTGTTATCTACAACTATTAAGTCTTCCTGTGTGATAAGACAATTTAGCAACTTGAATATTTAATTTTGATGACTATYTTTTTTTCCCTAAAGATCTTGACTCTTGTGTACTTCCTACCCTTTGTAGGATGTCTCAAATACTGTGTCAGTTGCAAGGCACTTTCCAAGAAGGATGTGGGAGACTTCAGTTATGTGGAGCCAGCGTGTACAACTATATGAGACCTCAATTTATCCAGTGCCATTTTAAAGACACTCATGTTACTTGTTTGATTTATGGTTCTTCTGGAACTCACCTATCCACTCTTAGCTGGCAGACAATGCTCAATGCATCTACGACTCCCTCTTCCTTCAGCTGGTGACAACCAATGGCTGTGGCAATAAAACATCCAGTTCTTCCTATGCCAGCACTGAAAAGAAAGCAAAATTTAACATGAAAATGGAGCTCACAGACCAAAGAGGTAAGTGGAAAACACTAAGAATATGAAAAATGAAGTTGCTAGAACCAACCATTCCCATGTACATGTCTAGCGAGAGTAACTTCTCAGCTCAGTCTCTGGACAGAAATGAAAGGCTATCATACTCCAGCAGTATGACTGTCGTGGGTTATTTGTGAGCCCTAAAAGCGACCCCTCCCTCTAACCATGAAAATAAAAAGGACTAAAACCATACGGATGGAGTTGACCTCTTCTCCTGTGAGTCTTCAGACAGGAAGTGCTGTTCCTGCAGAGAGGAACAGCATTAACTGCTACAGCTCTACAGATTTTCTTGATGCCTGCTTGGAAACTGCATCTTTGGCATTTTCTTTACTCTTTGAGCCTCAARCACCTTTGAGAATCTGCGACTCCCTCTCTCTCTTGCTTCAACTATGTGGAATTCCACACAATCTCCTCTCCATTATACTATAGGACATGAAAATGTGGGTCTTCTAGGCAAAGCCCAGGTCAAGGGCCCAGGTCTACATGCCTGGCTTTAGAGGAAATATTTAACCATTTGGTGTCTTGCTTGTATCTGTGCAATGTGTATGAATGCTACCTGCCAACGAGAGGATAATGAGAARTAAAACTGCTAGCGTAAGGAAAGATCGGGTGAGTTGAAGCTCCTAATTTGACAACTTGTCTCCTCGGACATTGTTATCTTTGGGATAAATGGATACAAAAAGAGAAAGAGATAGGTTATAAAGAGGGATTTTCAAAAAGCAGTACAATTTTTTTTTCCTTTTTTTTTAAGGTGTAATATAAYAGGTCTGATCTGTTAATTTGGAGTGTAGGATATCGGACTGTAAGGGGATGCAGTTATAGGAAGTGCCACTTTTTTTCTAGAACATAKGCACAAGCTGAGTGTAGCTGGTGAGGAAAGAAAACAGTTTCTAGCAGCAGGAATAATACTGTCAAGTTTCCAAGTATGACAATTTTATCCTCCATTCTCATTTAAAAAATGCATGTAAGTACTCCATTTTATATGGAAAATCATTGCTTCTTCTAGGAAGAAGAAAATAACTTTGGTACAAAATATGCGTTGCATTGTATGCCAGATTCTCAGTCAGCTTGGTTTCATTAACTAAATGGGGCTAATTYAGTTTCACACTGGCAGAATATAGTCCTGTGTTTCTAGTTCTTCCTTACTCATTCAAATTAAAGAAAGAAAAAAAATGCTTTCTCTCTATATTTGGAATATATATTTCTCTATATATTTCTCTCTTTCTCTCTACATTTGGAATATATTAATTATATTAATATATATTAATTATAATATATATTTGGTCCCAAACCACCTAGTTGGTATTAACCCTAAATTTATTTTGTAACTACATATCCAAAAGATACATTGAAGAGGTATTTTCAGTTTACTACATGCTTTAAATTAGTAGCATGATAGAGCACCTCATGTCATTGTACCTTTTTGGTACTATACTGTTATATCTGTGATATCTATTTCTTTGGCAAGGGCAGAATCAGTTCGGCTGGCTTCAAGCATGAAGACAGAGATTTACTCTTTTTCCATGCATYTGCAGAATAAAAACTGCTTTGCTAAAAGAACTAGAGTTTTTTTTGCATCTATGCCCTGAATCAACTCATTACTGAATTGTGTAGCAGCGTTCGGTGCTGATAGGCTACAAGAAGACACACACACACACACATATACGGTTTTTCCACTTGTATCATAATTCTCATTTTTAAAGATTCTTAAAGGGTCTTGTTTGGACACGCACTATAATGATCCCCTGGAAACAACTGAGAATTGTTCATTTTCATCTGAGGCCTGAATTTAAAAATTAACACTGGCATTATGAGACCTGGCTGATCTCTTCGGGTTAAAATAGAGGACACTGTGTGTTAGAAAATGGAGCAAGAGTGAGTTCATCTTTGTAGATCATACAGTAGTAAGTGTAGTTGAGTTGTCAGTGGAGAGCTGTGTTAATTTTAATCATGACTGAGATGGCAGCTGAGTCTTTAATCATGAATAAATTTCTGCTAGTGATTAAAGACTGTTGTCATATTAGCCATCCGAGAAAGATACCCCATTCCTCTGAAACTCCCATTACTGAAATAATGTGAAAAATGGGAATCTCTTTGGTCATCCATGATTTTGTGCATCGTTTAATAAAGCTACAATTACAGATGAAAACAACTGGATAAAGCTTGGGGAAGTTCCTTATTCATCACACTTTGGTTTTGCAAAATGATGGGTAGTTGAAATCTGCCTTCCACTTCTCTAAATCTCCTAAATATAGATTTAAAAAGAAGTAGCTCAAGATGTTTTGATGTACATTTGAAATAAAAAAAAAAAGTACTCTCCCTACTATAAGAGATGTATCATGATTATGAGAGAAAGCCAGTAAGGAAATACTAATTCCTTTTTGGTTTTTTTTCTGTTTTGCTTCACTTATTTGTAAAACAAAAATAAAACAAACCCAGGGCTGTTTCCTACTATTGAGATTATGATGTGACACAATCAGTCAACATAAACCAATAAAATAGTACTTAATTTTGAGTGATTTAAAGTGAAGTTTCTAGTTCATTGTCATTTCTTTGATTAACACTCTGCTCTTAAGTACTGAATAACACCTTACTCTTGAGTATTAAACCCACTGCCTTTATGAAAATGTTCCCAAACTTTAGTACTGATGTGTTTTCGTCTCCATATTTGCATGTGATGCCTGTTACTATTGGCTGACTTAAGACATTTTAGTCAATCACAGAACAGAGCATCTAACTTGAACATGTCGCTAAGGAACAGGATTGTAAAGAAAGGAAACTATGGAAAAAAAACATAAGCAAAATCATTTTTCTTTCCATCTGGTCTTTCAAACACTGACAGAACACAGAAGCAGACACCAAGACAGGTTTAGAAACAACCTCAAAACCTCAAATCCTTGAACAGAAACTTAGAAAAAGCCATTGCCATTAAGGGGATTTTTCTATGGGGAACTTTCCTCTTCCCAAAATATGTTCTTTGGTTAGGAGAAGGACAGTTTGATGCGATTCTCTGTAGCCTTGCTTTAGGTAACCATTTAAGAAAATGCTTTCAAATTACCTGCAGTGCACAATTACAGGCCCTCTGCCAGGYGATTCCATCCTGTCCTCTTCTACATCCAGCATGAGCTGCAGAAGAGGCTGAGCACTGTCCGGGGTTTTGTGGTCCGGCCAGGACGTGTACCAATAGTGTTTCACACTCTGGGACTGGCTTCCTTGCTGAAAACAACAGTAAGATTTTATATGTACACTTAAGCAGTCTTTTTATCTCTCTCCATGTTATGGCAGAAAGCCAATAAAAATGCTCTGAGAAATTTAATATACAAATATATTGAATTAGATTGATTTGATACAAATGAGGGAAACAGGTATGCTTCCATGGACAGAATTCTAAGAAAAATTACCTGTGTTTTCCTACTATATAAGTTCTATTCTGTCCATTTGATTATTGTCCTGCTTTGTAGTAAGATGGAAATTGTCAGAGACTTCTGTTAGCTCAAAAATGGGACTAAGAGAGATGACCTTAATTTGGGCCTCTGACTTTTACATGTTTCTGCTGTCTTTTTAATGATATTATCATGTGAGTCTTATACAGAAACTAGAAGAGCATTCAAGGTAAAGCTGCAGAACTGYCCTACTAAATCAGTTTAACATCCCCATTCCTCTTGTGATTCTCTCCAACAGAGGTTGCTACCACTTAACTTCAACAAKCAAGGGAGAGTATATGTAGACCAGAGTAATCTGCACACTTTTAATCCAAACAATGTGGATTATAATTAGTTCTCCCTGCCTGGAATGAAACATCAAACAAAATTTCCCAGTTTATTATTTATTGCAATGTCATGGAATTTAAGAATTAWGGAGAAACTCAGAAAGGAGCATCTGCCTTATTCTGCACAGTTAGTGTTTAGTCAGAACCATCAAGCTCAAAGCATGAAGCTTTCTTTATGTATGAGTCATATTTTTAGCATTTCAAATGGGCTTATGGATGCACTCCACACATGACATGAGCAGCTTATCTTTTTCTGAATGATGCTACGTTCACCAGTTCTTTCATTAAACTAAAATCCTTTTACATTGCTTTGGTAATTTTAAAAGGGCCTCAAAGCAAACATAATTTAAAAGGTGACACACTCTTTTTGAAACCTTTTTTATTGCCAGAGTGATACGAAGCAGCAGCAGGGCAAGTTCCACAGCTTTGGTCTCAATTGTATCTTTCAGCTATGAGTTTCACAACGCAGTTATTCCTCCTGTAAAAATTCATGACCATTTCAAGAAGCATTTAACTTCCTTTAACATTGAAAAATAAAATATGAGAACAGTGCTTTGCAGCAGATACAGATCATTACCTTTATTGTGAGCTGGCGGACAGTATAGTTCTCACATTCTTTCACGCTGTTAACAAGGACTTCAACCTTCCCATAGATTCCTCTTTTTTCTGGCCAATAAAGCACACATTTCTGGAAAGCAAAACGTCAGTGTTATCAAATAACTGGAGTCTTCAGCCACAATAGTATCTAATTTTTAACGGAGTGTACTTGTCTGAAAAGTTCAGATTAATTCAGCTGAGGTTAGAAGCTTTTCTGAATGAGTTATTGTTGGCTTCTTAATAATGGTTTAGACATTACTTTAAGGATCTGAGTATTATCTATACGAATCCCTATCACTGAACATATTAAATAGGCTGTTTTTCTTTTTAAAAGCTTAACAAAGTTCAGTTAAAAGAACAAGTAGAATTTAAAATATTTTTTTTCCTATATCACCTCATAATTCATAGTGCTAAAACCTAAGATTTGTTCAGCTTATAGTTTATATATTTGGCATATAACATCTTTAAAATATTYTATAGTGGGTGTATACGTGTACATATGAGATTTCCTTCTGAGCAAGATACTCTGAATTTGTCCTCTCCTCAGCTGTTCATTCTGTTTAGCATGATCCCTGATTCAACAAAGTGTGTAAGTGTGTCCTGACATCTTACTGAAGTCAAGGGGACTTAAACACATACGTGGAAGTGTTTGGCGGAAGGATGGCCTAAGTTGCCCAATATGTTGCTTACTGGCAATGCAGGATCAAAAGACCCATCGCTCTGCTACCATTATACAAAATCATATAGAGAATTCTTAACCTACCAGCAAAGTGTAAGACTATTTGTATTCCTATATTATGTAACTTTATTGCATATTATTGTATTATGTACCTGGCAAGCATCTAAAAGGAGATGAAGAAATAGTATTTACTAAATGGACTCTATCCATCTATATTCAGGTTAACTGCAACATTATGCTAATTTCATTATAACAACACTACTCTAACTGAAAGCAAACCTCCCTGTTGTACAAATACTTTGCTAAAAACAGATGATCATTACCTTGATAAAGAAAAGCATGTGAAAGCCACATTTTCTAAAGTAATGCTAGCCAACCTGACTGATTTTATTAATTCTTTTTTGCAACCAAATAAATTTTTCTTTTTAATGAACCAAGACAGAGGTAGAAAAACACKCAGAGAGCAGACAGCTCTTCAGTAATAAGAATAGCAGTGAGGACTTGTCTGTATTTCCTAAAAACCATTGCTGAAGAGGCTGGTTTATAGCCAGAAAGCAGCTTACATTACAAAGCCAAATGAAATGATCACTTTAATTCATTGCCATAAAACATAGTTTCCAGCAAATCCTGCTAAAAATGAGCAAMGAAAAAAAATCAATCATGCTCAAATGAAACAAAATGAAATGCAAGCCTTTACCATCAGGTGTGATTTTTAAGCTGCTACTCCACCTGATAACCCAACAGCTGATTGAACTGAATGCAAACTCTGCATTCAGAGTCACAACTCTGCAAACTCTCTCGTATAAATATTTTTCTATAAATAGATGCTCATTACCTTAGGAGTGTAAGGTGTGTGAAAGCCACATTTTCTGAAATAATGCTGGCCAATCTGACTGGTTTCATTCCTGTCTTTTGGAGAGTTACTCGAACATTTTAAATTTGCTGCCTCCCCGAAGACACCAACCAAGAATGGCAACAAAATACTCAGAAACTTGTGTGGAAAAAAAAGAGAAAAAGTGTTTCCGAGGTCCATAGTAACCCTGTGTGACACACACAGCTATTAGCATCCGTGAGACCTGCAATTCACGCCCCTCCCTGGGGAGCTGCAGCTTTGCTGGGCTAATATGGGCAGAAGAGAAGTCTAAATACACAATTGTACTCTGACAATTAACAATAGTTCAGGCAACCCCTGAGACTTCTTGATAAATCAAAGTTTGTTGCACTGACTACAAAGACCTCAGCCAGGCCGTAAGAGTGTTTGTCTTGACTCTCTTCCAGCACYGCAATTGGCAACTTGCACTGGGTGGACAATGAGCTGGGACTGTTCATTAAAATAGCTTTTGCTTAACGACCTATCTACATTTAGTAAGATACAATGGATTATTTTTAATGCAGGCTGCACATATTTTTTTCAAGAATTCTATTTGTTACTGCTTTAAAAAAATCTCATAAATACATCTGGAATCAGCTGCTCAAGTCACTTAAAAGATTATTATTTTGGGAAACTAACTTCTTTGGAAGTTTTTTGTAATAAAGACATCAAGAAGAAGATGGAGAGGATAAAGATATCAAACATAGAGATATTAATAGAGAACCACCTAGGAGCAAAAATTACCTTAAGCTAATACTTATACGTAGAGAAAAAAAAAGCTAAAATCAGAAAAGCATTTTTTGCACCTGTTCAAAAGTTAAACGCAGCTGTTAGGAAAACTTAACTGCTCTGTAGCCTCATGTCTTTAATCACTAAAGGCTTATTTGCTTTATAAATAAATCTATCTATCTATCTGCATATATTTGGAAAGGGAGCAACTGACTTGATCTTATCATCATTTAGGTCTCTGAGGTTTTTTTTTTTTTGTGGTTTATTGGTTCTATTCCCTGCTGTTCTTTTAGGCCTCTTGGGTTCCCATTAAGTATTTCCATCTTTTACAGTGCTCTCCAAAGAGGTTGCATATTTCTGTGAGCTTGATAGGGAACGTCTGACCTTCTGTGTAATCTGCAAAAGCATCAGAGCTATAATTGGGGAGTTTTAAAAAGATGCTTAAGATAAAAAAAAAAAAAAAAAAAGACATGGAGGGAGAAAAATCCTAGCCAACTTTATGTCAGTCAAAAGCCTGGGAAGCTTCCTTCTTTGTGTGGAAAAAGTTTCATCTTCCTGTGACCTTTCAGATTCCCTCCGCCTTCCATCAGCCAGCTCTCCCCCAGCTGCTCATTATTTCTGATCTGGTCCCTGATATTTTTTCTTTATATATATATATGTATTTACACACACACATATGTATTTATATATATATATGTATGTATATATGTATGTGTGTATATATATATATGTATGTATGTATATATATATATTTATATATATAAAAACCAACCAACCAACCAAAAAAAAACCCATTCCTTCCTCGGCTGCAGCAAGTTTATGCAACAAACAATATCCCACATGATCTTTCCTGCTGGTCCTTGTCTCCCTGGCAGACTGCAGCACTGAGCTGCCTGTCCCCAACTTGAGTGCCCTCTCCTGCCTGCCAGGTGCCAGCGAGGGCACCTGCAGCCTTCCCGCTGCGCCAGCACCTCCAGTCCTGGCATGGTCAGCCCGTCCTCGGCAGCACATTTTATTTTATTTTATTTTATTTTATTTTATTTTATTTTATTTTATTTTATTTTATTTTATTTTATTTTATTTTATTTTATTTTATTTTATTTTAATTTAATTTAATTTAATTTTATTTATTAACTCTTGCCAGAGAGTGCTCCCTTTACAGTCTGGTTTCCCCAGAAAATCCTGCTGAGTGGAGAAAGACTTTCTCAGCTCATGGGATATTCAGCCCTTTTACATGCTCTGGCTTTGGGCCCTCTGAACCAAACTGCTTCTCCAAGTTGGCTTGGGGKGTGTGTGTGTGTGTGTAGTGGGTGATCAAAGCTGTTTTTTTTTAACAATTCTCAAGTATTTTTCAAGTTTTGCTTTATTTCAGCTTCAGTTCTCCTGCTTATTTTTTCTTACAGCTATGCAAACATATTTATACCTTAAATAACAAGGCCACCATGAAAAAACAATGAATAATTACAGCAAACCTTAATTTATAAAATCCCTTTTTACTCCTATGCAAATTTGCTGTCACAACTAATTCAAACATGAGAGGTGTACTGTACTTTAAGAGGTCTTGCAGGATTTGCTTTCATCTGGTAAAATCCTCAAAACTAGGACCAAATCTTCTTAAGTTTTTCCAAAACCCAAGACATATTATGGCACTAATACTTAATTTAACGAATAAGTAATCTACAAAGAGGCTTATATGGATTCTGCAAAAGGTCGGATTTCTAGTTTCCAGTATCTACAGTTCCTACACAACTGGGAAAAAAATGTTGCTTGAAAAATAATAAGAGCTTTAAATAGTAAATTAGTAAGATTGTGCTAGATAAGTACTTGAAAACAGTAGTTACTTTATCTGAGTTGAATAATACACATTGTTTAAGGCTTCTATCAGAGTACTGGCCCTTTCTTCTTGCAGAATGCTGCACTGTAATCTTTATTTATGCATTCAAAAATATGTTTCCTTGTTTATATGCAATGTTGATAGTTTGTTTTGAAGGCAAACAAAACACATATTATCCATGGAATACATTGCATAACTGTGAAAGACAGCTGATACAACAGGAGCATGTAAACTAGTGTATTCTCATTCCAGATATTTGTTGAATTTCTATCGTCCAGTTGTCTTAGCTAAATGATGTTTTAAGAAATTAAGTTTACACGTGCCCCATGAGTAAATAATTTCAAGGTTAGATCCCAAAATGTTACTCTAGGATGGTACCTTCAGTAGGTGATTTATCTCATTCTCTTCAAATAGAACAGGTGACCCTCTGAGGCTGATTTCTGCTCTTTAGTGACCTGAATGGCTAGATGAGATGAATTTTCCATCATATTAAAAATTATAGACTGGAATTTCAAACTTTGTATTGCTTTATTCTAGTAAAAGTTCCATTGTTTTGTCTTATTCTCCTTATATGAGTATGTGGATAAGAAGACGCTCCAATATATTTATTGTGTAATTTTGAGTACACATTTTACAGATTCTGCTTAAGATACTCCCTAAGCCACAGTTCTTTTAGCATTATTCTTGCTGACAAATCAACCTCCAGTTTTTACCAGACTGCAAAACGAAGAGTAATCCAGAAAGCAGTTTAATAGTCCAAATTTTGTTACACAGCTGAAACAAATATTTAGTTCAGCACTTTGATATTACATCTTCATTCATTTTACAAAAAAAAGTATTCACAGCAAGTCCTAAGTTTTTCATCTCACAAAACGAATTAACTCCATACAAACCTACACTTACACTTTGCACTTTAAAACTTACACTTTAATGGGCAAGTTCATGTGCTGAGCACAATCATTAGGTGCTTTCTTCTCAGTCCCAAGTAAAGTTTGGGGAGCAGTCAGTTAACGGTGAGAGAATTCCTAAGGCTTCTAGACAGGGCAGGACAGCTTGTGCAAACACAACCTCTCTATATAGCCTGGGAACTATTCGAGATTCCCCACCCATTCTATGAGGAGGAAATTACCACTGCCAGGCCACAACAATGCGGATAAACACTAGAGCCCAGGGCCTGCGTAACTCAGGTAAACACAGGGTTTCCTGACATGTTGGAAACCACTGGGCATTTCTTTCAAGTCATTCTTCTTACACAGTGTCAGATGTAAGTGTTTAAACAGTCAGTATTTCCTCAGTGAAATACTTGTTCTTTCGGCCAGTTAAGTTGGGTTAAGCGTCCTACTTTTTTCAGGAATATACGTAGGCTTCTGGACACTTGTTCGACGAGAACACAGTTTCAAAATGCCACCCAGTTTGGAAATACATCTTTGGAAATACAGCACAGAACCTACTTTCTACATACAGCTTTATTAAAATTCACCGGACTTTCATGCTAGTTCAYGCTAGAAACCCCAAAACAGCAGAGAGTCAAGCAGTGGTGAGGTGTAGAGGAAGCCTGTGACCACTAAGCCCACTTTAAAACTGAGCTACAAATTTGTGCCTTGGGAAAGTGATCAGTCCCTTCACCACTCAGATCAGAAACTTGGCTCGATTGTGAATATGCTCGATTTCTCCTTCCCCACATGCATCTGAGTGTGTGAAGGACGGGGAGGTGAGCGAAGCAGGGCCAGCGTGAGCCTGCTGTCTTCCCTGGCATTGTGCTGGGACATGGTCAAGGCATCTACCTGGAGCTGGACACTGCTACCAAGTCTGTCGGCTCTGGCACAAGAGACAATTCAAACTCCCTTCAGTTTCTCTCYTGCACAAAAGACCCGCAAACCACTTCTGTAACATTGAAACTTCCAAAAGAGGGCTTTGTGTTGACCTTTTTCACAAAGGAGTCATTTTCACTCTTAATATCCAGCAGTAACAAATGTGGATTTTGAATTACAGAAAATATCAAATGAAGCTATTAAAGGTGTAGTTGGGAATTTCTCCAAAATCACAGAATGTATAGGTAGCTGGCCACTATCAATCGAAATTCAATAGTCCCCAAACTTGGTATTAAAGTAAAGAGGCGTATTTCCATTCTGGCTAAGTGTCTTCATAGTATTGGCATTTGGGAGCTCAAGCAATATTTCTGGATTTCAATCATTTTTAAAACCTTTAGAATATATTTAAAAAACCTGCCATTCTACAAGTTTTAAACTCTGACCATGTAAGGAAATCTCTGATCCTAACATTACCCACTTAYGTACCTATTTTTTGTGTAATAGAAAGTAATAAGTAAGTACAGACGTGACCAATTGGTAAGAGAGGTGTTTCTTAAAAAAAATGAATTCAGCAGGACAAATCAAGAAAATGGAATTTTGTTCATATATATATTTTTTCAACACATCTCTTGTGGTCACTTCACAATGACAACTGTCTTCTTTTTTTGTCTACCTTAAATTATTTTCACAATGCTCTTTACCCCAGTATTGGAGAGGAAAATATCTACCCACATTCTTCCATATCTACCAAGGTTTTTTTTTCTAGCRGTCACAGCCATTGGAGTAATTTCTCAGTGTGGCTACTTCACCTGTCATACCTCATTCTTTTCTTTCAGCTTTGTGATCATGACAATGACAGGGCTGTCCTCTTGCCAAACCATCTGCCAGAAATCATTCACGGTATTAATCATGGGTCCCTGAGTTGCAATGAAAGCCTTCTCTTTACCTCCATATCCCTGGTTGAGAAACAGACACAAAAATATTTACTTTAAATTCAGATAGTGGACCAGGACTGCAGGTGAGCGTTCTAAAAGAAGAGAAGAAAGAATCTGGAACTAAACAAAAGTTATTTGAATTGAGAACAATTATGACTCATAGTAGAGCAGGCCAGAAATTTTTCAGTAGAACAGTTTTTCCTCTGAAAGCTACTGATTCATTGGGTTGAAATGGTTCTGAGAATACACCAGTTCCCTTCAAATTTCCCTGCTTCTTTGGTTTCTTTCGTTTACCCTGTTCCTCAAGATGTTAGGCCTTTTTCCATCACCCAGTGGTGTTCTAATCTGTGATTTACACTGTTGCAGTGTTTACAAGACAGTTTACAGTCATAGACACAAACGAGGGAGAAGTGTAAGACTGGCTTCTACAAATATGATGACAGGAAAAGAGATTTAAAGATATGCAAATACTCATGGAGTCAAAAGCTCTACTCTTCATCTCTCCTGGGGGATAAATATCTTTAAATAAGACCTTATATGAAGGAAAACTTATCAATACAGGGCATCCTGAGACACACAAGTGAACAGACAGTCAAAAACAGGGTGAGTAAACAGTGAGAAGCAAGAGGGAGGGAAAGAATGGGAGAAGTGGGAAAGACAAGAAATAACTCTCTTATTTTCAGGTGCAAATGAGAACTTGTGAACTTGTGCAGTGACCAGATGTCCCATGGTAATGCAGATCAGAAGAGACTGGCAATGTCAGAAAGGCATGAACAGATGGTGAAGAGCTGGGGTTGGAGCAGGAGCCTCTAACCATGGGCTGCCCTTCTGTTTGCTTTCMATCTGGCAACACCTCTCTGTGCTGTTATCCATTGCATGAAACATCAGGGTAGATTCTCAGCTGGTATAAACTGTCCTCGTATTACCAAGCAACTTGCCTGAACATCCTTTGTCAGACAGCTGTGGCAGGATCCTAGTGAGCTGAATGATATTCCATATGCGGATGTGAAATTTCACTTCATTGCTGCGATGATTTTTTCCTGAGATTGTTAGCAGTGTCACCACTGGAAAGCAGCAGGAGAAGTCATTGTCTTTTGGCTTGTTGAAGGTGATGGGGGAGAAGGCACACCTCATAGGCCTCAAAACRGGCCACTGAGTAAAGGGTTCCACTGTTGCCCTTCACAGACAACTGCTTTGCTGATGTCTTTGCAAAACTTTGGACATACAGAATGCAGAGTGAGGATGGGAAAGGGCTGTGGGYGATTGGTGTGCATATTGTTTAAATAAGCAGCATTATTGCTGAGCCATATTTGAGAGGCAAAATTTCAATTGCACTATCACATTTACTCCAGCTGAGGATCCAACACATGATTCTAATMAAAATATTAAACTTTGCAGATGGAGGATTAAACTCCTAAAACATTCGTAAAGTAGTTTCTGAGCATTTTGTTTAGCATATATTGTGTCACGGAGTTTAACAAGGCTCCATCTGTAGTCATTGAGAATTATTTCATAGTCAGACACTTAGAAATAATGCTTGTCAACAGGATTCATGCTGGTCAAGTCTGTCAATCATTTCATATATGTAGTAAATATGTGAAAAAGTGTGTATTCCTAAACATGTATATTTAATATGTATACCCCTTTACACAGACTTGCTGCAGTATTTACTTAATTATTTAACTGATTATTTCAGAACTATATGTACTAAAAAATCATCACATTTGGACTTCATTGGAGATAACGAGATCAMCATAGTGAGCAGCCATGGGGCTTATATTGTTGCTGACTCTAATCTTTTCTTTGCCAAACCACTCTACATCTCTCTCACACTTAAAACGTGGACCTTTTCCTTACTATAAAGCAGTAGGACAATATAAAACAGTAAATACTGAGATAAACAGAAACAAGGCATGTCCTTCTTACTGTATTATTTGTTACTGCAACCATTTTAGTACATTCATGACTGTGGTCTTTACTACAGGCTCAGGAGGCTATCTCTGTAACACCAATGTAGACAAAAAGATTAAGATTTATCAGTGAAGATGGTAGGAATTAAATGAGTGGCACCTTGGCAACATCAGTTATTCAGGTGGAAAATCAAATATTGTCTCAAAAGCACATGAACAGTGTACATTTACTTACCCTAATGTAGTTAGCATTTATGTAGGTACTCAAGGAGTCAGATGGATTTTTTGGTTTCAAATACACTCTGCTTAGAGGATCTAAGAGCACAAGGAAGATGGAAATTGAAAAGAAAACCCATAATTAGAAGATTTCTCTAAAGAATCAAAGATTTGTTGAAGAAAATAATCTACTGTGATTTGGGGGTTGCCAAACAGTAAAACATAACTCACGAAACACTTTGCTCTGCAAAGCACCAACACATGTAATGAAGGTTAAGCCTACACTGCACAACCCTGGGCAGTAGAGAAGCATCTCAGCTAGTGGTGGTCATAGATTCAACGCTACCAGGTCAGCACAGTGCTCAACAGGGTCTTGTTTGCCCCCATTGAGTACCAGGATGAGCTGCCTAGACTGTCTCTGAAACCTGTTWCAGAGCCTAGATTGTCTCTGAAACCTGTGCTGTATTGTTGCATACCAGCTCCTTTGGATGCCACTTAGATATCTTTGCATTTAGTTGTATCATTCCAATGACTACAGTTGGATTTAAATCAGAAAAAAAGCCACAAACTTTGCACTGACCCCTCTGCCTGGGGAAACCAGCTGTGTACTTTTATATCACTACATTTGAGTGTAACAGACTGGAGAAATTACGGCAACTTTTTCCTTTGTGCTCTCCTTTCATTCACTGTCTTGGATGATCTCAAATAGACTCAGGGCAATTCTGTTTGAGCAGGGAGCTGCGAGTTACTAGATCTCTCTTGTAAAAGATCTTTTGCTGCTCATTATGATCATGTGGGTCCCCCATGTACTAGGTTTTAGGAATAAGCCAGAAAATGCTCAATTACACAGTCTTACAGAAAGGCATAAGGGGATCAAAGAGCCCATATTGTGACAGTAAAGGGGATCCTACTATGACTTTCTCTGCATCTTTTCTGAAAAAAAAAACCCTCCAGTTCTACCAAAATGCTATGGAAACATTTCGGTATTGAAAAAAAGAAAGAAAATATTTTCTTCTAATAGTTTGCTTAAATAATTAAGTAGAATCAGCAGCTTCTTCAACTTTTTAACAGCAGTTTTTTTGACTTTTCTAACTCTTGGTTTGGAAATAGTCTCTGGAGAGCTCCTTTGCTGTGTGGAATCCAGGCAAGGTGTTCCAAGATAATACATGGATGCTAAACTGCAGCACAGGGTGGTAACACTATTTACTAGGTCGTCCTGTTGCTTACATTGCAGAGATTACTGGTGTGCATGTGCTGGTCTAAGCAAAATGATATTTTCACAGAGTTGCTTTTGGATTTCTATGCTGACTTTTCATTTTGTTCCCGAGAACAAGATAAAACCTTTGCAAAACAAAAGGAGGAGTGATCCCAAGCATGCTTTATGCCTAGTTTGCACTGAAGGTAACAGAAACTTCTTGGGAAGGGAATGGAGTCATTGTCGGGGCACAAGCCAATGTTTTGAAAATGTTTCTTAAACGGTGCAAATGAATGTATGTCGTCTAGCTCAAAGTCCACACATGGGCCTCTTGTCCTCCGTGGTAACAGCACAGTATGAACCCTAGCTAGCCTGTGTTAAAATATCTTTGTACTAGCTTTCCCAACCTTGTCCCCTTAACAATATGAGGACAGGAAACCTCTTATTCCTTTTCAGCACAGAGTGATTATTAGCCATTTCCACAAATGCCTCAAGCTACGTGGCCTTAAAAAAACACCCGCTTCCTCTAGCTCACACAATGCCTGGGATTCTGATGGAGCCTGACCCCTACCTTAAAAACCCTCTTCCCAGCAGACTCAACAACTTATTTACCATGTCTTGGTAGAAGTTTCTCATGATCCCCAGGAGCTGCTAAATCAATTTCACTTGGAAGTTACTTGCTTCCAAGTCCAATCAACAAAATAATCACTGCTTTGGAATGGGAGCACTTTTATAAAATAACAGTCGTGATCATTTATGAAATAGATAGACGCCGTAGACTCAGACCTGAAATGAGGAAAGCTGAGCACTGTTTAAGATCTAGAGGCATTAAGCAATCACCATAGAGAGATGGAAGTGATTAGCTTGCTCCCGAATGCCAAATACCTTGGAGGTAACAATGCTGGGCCACATGTCAGAGCAAGGGTGGCCTTGCTAGACAGCCTCCCCCAGGGCCACCAATACTGGAGATGCATTCACTCCATGAAAGGCCCTTTTTCATGAAGATCCAAGTCCATCTTATTGCAAGGACTGTATTCTATAGTCCTTATTCTATGTTTTTTTCTTTTCTGACTACTGTTGCATTTTAAATTCTTTAGGAGACATTTGCATTTGTATTATTTACAGAATTAGTCATTCATTACTCTTGGTTCACTCCTGGTTGCCTTGCTAAAAGAAAGACCAAAATACTGTGTGAAAGGCTCTTTATGGCATTTCAGTTTTGTGAGCAGGAAAGGAAAGTGAAATTTTTTTGAGGCAGACTGCTCTCACACTTTCACCTCAAAAGATTCGTAAATCTTTCACATACTCAAATATTCTGAAATTCATTCACCCCTACTTTGCTTCTTTTAGGTTTTAATCTATAAATGAATGATGTATACTGGATAGACTATTTTATCTCCTTCTGCTTTTTTTTTTTTTTTCATCTTTGCAAGCTTGCTGGTGATCCTGCTGTCTTTAGGGAATAAGACTGCAGCAAATATGATAAAACTCAAAGTCTCAGGACTGTACTACAAGGGAGCTTGAAAATTCTCAACATTAAGAGAACTATTTCCCATCATCTGTCTAGAAGTCTGCAGAGGGAAGTACTTTGTTCATACAATTTAGTTTTAAATTTCCCCTCATCTTTAAACGGAGAGCCAGTTTTAGCACAAGCAATTTAAACAACAGCTTGTGGATTTGGCCGGTCTGACCTGCCAAGTGCTTTCCACCTTCATTTTGCCGTGGATCTGCTCTTCTGCTGTGACTGCTTTCATGTAGGCTTTTGCCCTGAGGGTGTTTTTTAGAAAGAGTTAAGAAATGTCATCAGGTTACCCTGGGTCTGTTGCACACATGAAGATACCAATAGAGCAGTTAACTTTTATGTCAGGCTGCTTGCTTCTTTGTAAGCAAGGTCCTACATATGCTCTGAAGCAGCATGGGAATTCTGCTTCTGGTTTGAGGCAGAAACAGAGGGACACAGGAGGGGAAAAATACATAGCTTTAAAGCTGAGGTCCTGCCATATGAACATGTGGTAAGGGCTGCAGGAGGCATCAGGGAAGGGTTGCATTTGGGAAAGGTGAGGGTGTGAAGCCAGAGGATGAAGAGGGAGCATTGGGCTGGTGCTCAACTGCAAGGGTATAGTTGTGGAGAGAGACTAGGAAACTACGAATGTAGGACTGGGAGCCTGGTCCAAGGAAGAAAGAAATGCTGTAAGAGTGGCAGAGGGAATGTAGCCAAAGATATGGGGTCCGGGAGATGGCATCTCATGGAGGAAGGATGAGGAAACATTTCTAAAGGAACAGTTTAGCATGTTGCCTTTGATCCTACTCTGAAAAAGCCTGGTCTCGCTAGCTGTATTAGCATACTATTTTAAACCAAATAATACTTAGAAAACTGACCGAGGTATCCTAGCATTTGTGTTTGCTATTTTACACTGCAGCTGAAACATCTTTCTGGGATACGTAATATTTCCCGTAACTTATAGCTGTCCATACTGAAGTAGCTTTCATTAGGCATTCCCTTGGTTTCCCATGAACGTGTCTGACGGGGCAGTATCTATTAACACCAACCTGCCCTCCTACACCCTGCCACAGAATTATCTATGTCAGACTTATCTCTCAGAAAATGAGAACATCCTCCACAGCGCWGAGGGTGGAGCTGGCAGCCTAGGACATTTTTAGGAGGTAATCCATCAACTCAAACGTCACTTGTCACCGCAGGTGCCCTGATTGAAGAGACGCACCCAGCACTGGGAATGGAAAAGCTGACACAGGGGCAGGAAAGCAGGAAAGCTGTTCTATTTAATCATTCCAATCATTTCCAAACCCTTTTGGGCTGGGTGTGGGAGTATTTATTATGAGCATGTGCCTCAATCCTGGAAATAGCTGCTTGGGAAAAGCTTGGTGCTCCCAGGCCSGTTCTGTGAGCGGTGGCTGTGCAGCGGGCTCTGTGCTTTGACAGCCAACGTGCCTCGGGGCTAGCGGCACATCCCGCCTAACCTCAAGTGCAAACACAAAGGCGTTCTGGCTCTCCAAACGCCTCAGCTCCAGCCCAACTGCTGGGGTGAGCCAACTCAAAGCACATGCTGCAGGGAAGAGGCGGCTCTGGTGGCGCCGGGGCAGCTCTGGCGCTCGAAGCGGTGGGAAGGGAGAGCCCCTGGCCAAAGCTCGGCCTGTCTGAGCGAGGCTTGGGTGATATCCTGGCTCCGCTGTAGCTGAGGGCAAACTCCTGCTTTCGTCAACGGGGTCAGGATTTCACCCGCGTGAACATCCTGTTGACTGCGGGCCAAATTCTAAGGGTCATTACTTGTTCTGATTACTCGCTGTGTAACTTGCATACACTTCCATTTAATTCCCTTAAATATTTATTGCCCRCACTACACGCGGCCTGTGCCTTGCAATAGATGAAATAGCCTTGAAGTCAATGGGAATTTTACTGTTGATTAAAGGGAAGTGAGCATTGCAAACAGTGAATTTCTCTCCCAGATATGTATCATATTTCTGGGAGTAATCGAGCTGCTGAAGGCCATCATTCTTCATTAATTTGACTGCAAGATCTTTGTACAGTGTGATCAARCTACAATGCATGCAAGCTCACAGACAGAAACCTTGTCATTTAAAGTATGTGAATTTGCATGGTTATCATATAGCACAGGACTACAAGAACATTAAAGAGATAATCAGAAAACAAATTTGCAGTTGATGGTCTATGCTGTCAGGATAAAGGTATTCTTCATTAAAAATCTAAACAAAGAGATGTGCTTAAATTTTTCTGTACCACTTTCCCACAACATTTTGAATGACTGAACTTTTCTACTTTGCTAATGTCAAAATGCTATAAAAACACAACTCTTCATTTGCATATTTAATGCAATATTTATATTTCTACAATCTGTTTTGAAACTTTACACAGAACAAAATAATTAATGAGAAGCAGAATATCTCATTACTCTCCAATAAATGTTATGAAAATACTTCCAAATCAAGGAATGCATGAATTTTCAAGGAAAACTATTCCACTGAAAAGTTTTCAATCACCTCTAATCATAGTAAACCAATTCTTACTAAGACAGAAAAAGAAATTCTGCCAGTGAAAATACAGAAGCAATATAATAAAGCAGCAACAAGTTGATAGCACCTGTGAGAGAGCATTGTGTAAACGCAGTTTTCTTACTAATGTAAAGAAACTTCAACGAAGTTGAAAAAAAAAAACCAAGAATCTGAAAGTCTGCTACCAAAGGACAGGATGCACTGTTTTTTTCCATCTGGGCCACTCAATGCTAGATAGGATTCCAAACTGCTTGGCCCAACCAAAGGGAATTCAATGTTGGGGTATATAGTGCATGGTGTTCTGAGTTGTAATGCAGCCTGCAGGCTTGCTCTCTTCACCCTCCAAATTGGGGCAGTTGCTGCTAGGCTTGGCAGAACTTTCTCTACGTTTTTGCCTTATTTTTCTTCTAGATAAAACCAGCATGCACTCAGGCTGCATTTCGGTATGTATTTGGGATGTGGCCAAAGTGTGCACCTACTAAAGCATCCCGTGAGTGCTCTGCATTTGCAGCTCCTACCACATTGCTCTGTTGTYTTCTTGCTACACAGATTGCAAAAGCATTTATGGATAGCTACAGAATGAAGCTGTATGCTGAATGATATGCTGAAAGATAAAGATAGAAAATCTATCTATAAATGTACATCAGCAGTATATTCACAGAAAAGGACTAAATTTCATACTAAGAAACCACGGGCTCAGTCACTTACTTGGCAAAATTGTTTTATAGCGGTTTTTAGTTCCATGACTCGGGATGTCGATTTCTTTGGGATCCACAAAATTCATTGGTATTTCCTATAAAAAATAAATTAAATCAGATTGGTATTTCTAAAGGAGCCACACAGGAAATTATCACCAGAAGGCCATCTGCTGTTACACAACTGTCTTTTGACATCAAAGTTATTAAGAAAAAAAGTGGTTCCCACCTCAAGTCTGTCAACACCCTTCCTTTAATAAACACAGAGGTTGTACATTGAAGGGGCGACTTCCAAGGAACACTTCTGGTGAATTATTAAAAGCAACGTTTTTATAGGATTAAGAGATAGTTTAAAATACACAATAGTAAAAGTGGAGTTGAAAAATGCAATATTATCATATAAAACAGCAAGATTTTACATATTTGAAGTAGGAACTCTCAAAATAACTAAATATTAAAACATGACAAGGATATACACTTTAATTTTGTGCAAAGTCATTAAGAATATCAGCTAAAGATCTTTCTGCAGAAAGTATTAGGTGAAGCGTCTTGCTCCATTTCATGCAGTGACTCAAAGGCATAATAAACACTGAAGCTATTTCTCTTGATTTTGATTTTGATATTCTATCTGTTGAACCATGTTGTATTACCTAAATCTGCAAATGTTCAACTAACTAACAACCTTAATTAAATTATCTTAGTGTAAGCTGGCATTTTCTATTTAAGAATGCAATTTTTACTCCACATTTGAAAATTTCATTCTTGGTCAGCACATTTACCCAAAGAGACAGCAGGAGGCAGCTTTTCTGACTGGGGCTTGCTCTTCTACGAGGGGCATGGTGCCCAACTCCCTACCCATGCAACAGCAGATCTTTACACAGACCCACAAAGCAGAGGTGGCTGCCCTTCTGTTTTTCTATTTGAAGAAAAGTCAAAGCTAAGTAATATRTATATAACAGTCAATGTGAATTGCTGTGATTTCCTTCTGCTTCCCAACTTGGTTTCTAAACACCATACCACATGAAGTTGCAACTTCTGTGTTTTTAATTTCTGTCTTTTCTCTAGACTGATGCCCAGATGTTCAGTGAACCTTTTTTATTCTCCCTCTCTCCCTCTCTCTTCCACTTCTCCAATCTCTTCTTTGCTCTTCACATGACTCATCAGAGGAATGAGATGYTGCCTCTCTTCTCAGGCCCGTGAATGTAGTGCTGCTAAAATCCTGCCTCCTGCACTGGTGCTTCATGCAGGGTTCCTTTCCAGTTCCCTATAATGCTCTCTATGTGGCTCCTGTGCCAAGGGCAGGATCTTTTGTCTAAAAGGCTTCACTTCTGCATAAATGTCTTCCCTTTCCTTTAGGCCAAGCTGTCTTCCTCTCCCCTATCCTGCTTCTGATGTCTCGTCTTTCTTCACAGAACTGCCTGATTATCCTATGGATAAAATGAGCTCCCACTGCTCTTACGTATTCACCTCTGACTTTTACCCTTTGCAGTGATGACCTCTGGGAGACTCTTCTCCTTCGCCCTTGAGCTATGAGCAAAAGTCCTCTGGCTACACAAGAGCCCTTGTCACGGGGAGACTCTGCTAGTTCCCTAATTGCCTCTCCATCGATGCCTGCTGCAATTTCAGAATGATTCAAATCGGTCAATTACTGACAGGTCCAGAAATGCCACAGAACTGAAAACAGAAACTCATTTCTCTACACCAACAAGGTCAATTAATAATATGAATTGCTTGCATCCTGTTAATATTTCCTAGTCAGTGGGACTCCTCCCAACAGTAAGTGCTTGTGGGGATAAGGGCACAGGCACAAACCTGGAACACACAGTGGATCACAGCCATACACATAGAGAGCACTTTAATCTGAAGTTGTCTACAAAATGGAAGATTCTGTAACAAAATTGAGGATATTTTTATCAGGGAATAACATACCTGGTAACATGTGGGGAAAATAAACCTAGGAGCTTGCAAATAGCATGGAAGTGTGGAAATTAGCATACATATATACAGCATGTGTACATATATATAGAATATGTATCTATTAGTTTAATTGAAGAGACATATAGACCTATTATATATAATTAAGTCATGACAGATAATGTATAAGCCCTCCACATTGATGTGCTCAGTTGCATGCATGCATATATACATGCTTATATATATATATATATATACATGCATACACATATATGCTTTTGCTTATGGTGTAGGCTGCTTTACAGTTGCTCACCTATCTGGGTGAGATACTCTTCGATAACAGCACTCTGGCTCACATTAGCTTTTAAAATGCTACAGCTGTTCATACACTGAAAGAGATAGGGTTTGGGTTCTTAAGAACATTCAAGAAAATGTGCCAAAATTTAGGAAAGATCAGGCAAACACTCATTATCCTTATCCCTTTGTTTTGTTGAGAACCATATTTCACAGATTTAAGAGTCTGGCAATTTTCTATGAAGGACTATATTTTCTTTTATTCTACTGTTTTAGGCACATGAAGTTTCAGTTCTATCACCAACTTCAGACATTCTRTCTTTTGATTGTGAGTGACTCTGGCAATTTATGTTTCTTTCTTATTGCCAAACAGATATATCCTCCCCCAAAAAATCTAGATGAATTTCTGTCAGGATTAAAATAAGCCTTAAAATAGCCCTTTTGTCTTAATAAATGCCATGGGAAATATTTTGATAGTTACTTAGTAGATTTTTTACAATTAAAAAGCTAAAAATAATGTAAAACTGGATGTGTTTTAATTTTCCATTGAAATCTTAGAACATTTCTTTATTTTTTGCATACTTGGAAGGTCTTCATGGGAAATAAATTGTAGTCTCAAGAATAGTGCTGTGTTGTATTTTCACCATTAGTTAAAACAAGCTGAATTAGCAGAATGAGTTGAGGGCTATACTTCACATTCTTTGAATGCTGGAAATTCTTACTGTAGATCCATGCAGATTTGTCTTGGTCATTGACTTCATTTTCTATTCTTACTCTTTATAAAATTAAATACACTTGTAAGAGACTTTTTGGCTTTTTTTGTTCAATACTATGGAGTGCTTGACAAAGACATACTGAACTATGCGCTGCACATTAATCAGGATTAAATCAAGACATGCTTCTCTTTTTGTGTGTTCAGTGACATGCTGCTCCAAACAAAAAAGTCCTTTATAGTGGTTAACAATTTTGTCTTTGAATTACAAACATGCATGTTGCTTACATGGCAATAATCAAAAGCTCTCATTATTACTGTATTTTCTGTTACTGTGTATCATCATTGCCTCAGTGATCTCTCCGAATCCGTCACAGTTGCCCCACCAGATCAGAACGCAATGCTACATCAGGCCTATTTTAAAATCACAAATCCTGGTTGTGTGTACAGTAGCTCTAATACTACTCTTCTCCCCTCTGTGAGTGGAACTACTGATATAACGGATGAATTTATCTGGCTTGTGTGCAAGTTTCTAAACATAAACCACCACCTGGGAACATTCTAATCTGCCACTCTCATGTGATTTTTTACCTTGATACTAAAGGGTTGCCTGATTATTTTTTCACAGTTTCTGTTGTGCCAATTATGTCAAAATCCTCATTTAAAGCTTATTGTTAAACTCACCATGAATTCTGTTTGAAGTAAATGAGAACAGGCAACTGTCTCTCGGAGCTGCTGTCTCGTCAGGACCCGGCCAGCTGACTGTAGATATTCCATGGCTACTTTTTCTCGTGGAGTAGGCACAGAGACAAAGGGTTCCACACTCCCCAAACTACTCATGTCCAAAGTCAGGGAGACGTTGGATCCTCGTCTGCAGTAAAAACATAATATAAACAGTTATATCTGATCTGTCTTATTTTAAGTGCCATATATATGCACCTGATTGCGAGTTATTAATGCACCCTAATTTTCTAAGTAGTCCTCAGAAGATTTTGATGTATGAAGACTGCAAGACTGGCTTCTCTGGAAGCACTTGGTGTTTAGGAAACCACCATTTTATAGATCATTCTAGCTCTTGAATATAATAACTGACTCTACAATACTAGGAGCTAGGGAGAAACTACTTTATTTCTTCTTAAAAGTATAAACTGTTCCCAGTATCCTATTAATCTTTATGGACATCAAATGTTAAGGTCTATAAGAAAGAAATGTTTTGCAGAAATTAAAAGGAATATTTTTCTACGTGATATAGAAAACAACCGGAAATAAAAGTCACAGTAGGTTGACTACATCTTGAAGAATCTAATCAAATGCCAAAGCTGACTAAATTTACAGCATGGAAGGTGAAAAAAAAAGTGATAAAATCAAGAGAAGCAAGCGGAAAGGCAACACAAAAGTGGTTGCCAAGACAGCGGACACTGTTTCAGGATAGATATAGGAGAAACAATAAACCACAAGTGAAGAAATGCTCCTGTACAGAATTAGAAGGGATTKTTCAGAAACAACAAATATCTCTTGCAGGACATTCAAATTTATTAATATTTCACATTTCTACAGGCAAACAAAGTTTGATTCAATAGCACCTTTGAGCAGCTATCAAAACATATCAATAAAGCACATTTCGCGTTTTTAATCACTTTCTCTAAACAACACTCAACTGTGGGTTTTTTTCTTGTTGTTATCTATCAATCTAATATTTTCTACCGAACCTTTAACTCCAGGCGTATTTGCGCGCGCGCACACACACACACACACACACACACATATTTTTTGTACAATTTATTTGTCTTTTCAAGCACTGTGACTTTTTACTCAGTGATGGTGTTGCTGTTCTCTACTCTTCTCCAACCAGAAAGAGCACTGTCAGGGTTTACTGCTTTCTTCCTTGGCAGCAACCCCACCCATGGCACAAAGCTTTGCTTTGTTTTTCCTTTTCAATATTGCAAGATGTCCCTCCTAGACACATGCCAATGGATTCTTCTGTAACTTAGTTTTAAATTGCTGTCACGTCAGTTTGCCTGAACAGAAATGACTTCAGTCACACACCTGTCACTTAGCAAAACACAGAACAACAATCACCAAGAAAAGAGACCATCTGATGGCATCAGTGCATCTCAGACCGTGCGTTACGGCACCGTACACAAGCGCACTCTGGTTTCGATGATGGGTGGGTGATCACAAGAGCTTCCCTATGTCGGCCCGCAGATGGTAACAGTGAGTCAGAGGCAGCAGAACAGGTGGTGGAGGCGAAGCAGAGCCGAGGTGACCCGGCCAGCTGGCTGCCTGCGGCGGCACATTGSATCGCCACGTTGCGGAGGAAAAGAGAGTCCTTGCAGCAGAAGGAGAAGAGCCCCCCTGGGACTCCGCTTGAAGACAGGGATGGTGTCTGTTTGCAGAGGGAAGTAGGCGGTGTACAGTGCTGCTACTCTTAGRGATGCTTTCACCCAACCTAATTTTGTTAGGGGGTGGGCAGAAGTGCTGCGTTGAGCAGGATGACTAGTAACTCGTATATACACGGGCTGTGAGTATTGCTTGTTGTGTACCCTTCACCCTAATGCTTGGCGGTAAGGGTGCTCAAACTCAAATTTAGAGCTTGCGGGAGGCATTACACAAGCTGGCCAAGSCAGGCAGCTATTTGCCAGCCCCTGTGAGAATAACAGGCTCCCGAATAACAGCCCCAGGCAGCACCCCTGGTGACTAAGTCTGTCCGTGGGGGAAGTGAGTCCCATTGCACCACACAACTTCTCGAGGAAAACATCCTGTTAGACCCTTTCTTATAACAGCCCTCCCACCCAGACACTCTCCTGACTATGACTGTCGCAAATTATTCCACGGAAAAAGGCAGTCCCTTAAATTGGTGGCTCTGAGTCTCGTTAAGGATTTGAATCAAAAAGACAATCTCTTAAAAACAACCCAGAAATCCACAGACAAAGAGTGCAGTCAGCCTCTTTAAAACTGTTAGACCCTGGTTGAGAAATATGTGAGATCCAGACATGCTTCTGGAAGACCCTACTGAGATTTGCTGTTACAGAGGAAAAGTATTCTCATTGTTTAGCAACAAAGTACAGTGAAATTGTTAATATTTTCTTTGGCTTTTACATTGTTATAACTGACAGCCTTGGCAAAAGGTCTATTTCCTTTCTAACAACAACAAAAAAATATACCTGATCTAATTATAACTTTGAGTTTACAGCTTTTTCCATTTATGGGGATTATTGATGAATACTGGTGTTGAGAATCAAATAACATACTCTGGAAAGAAAAAATATTTTCTTAACTACCTATTTAACACATTTAAAACTACTCAGTTAAAAAAATACAGGCTAAACAATAAGCACCTAAGGATAGTTGTCTTTCTACTTAAGGATAAAAAAAACCTATCAGAAGACATAGAAAAGACAATAGATCTAAAGCTATTGTTTTCCATTAAAAAAGGTATCTGAAGTAATACTTTTGAAATAGTAAGATTTAATAATTAAAAAGATTTTATAATACTTACATCAGCTGGAGAATAAGGACATAAAAACTGGAGAATAAGGACATTTTGCCTATGGCCTTGTCATGAAAGATCCACCAAGTTTTTGTACACCCTACTAGCACATACAAGCTTGCAATCTCAGATCCTGCTCTGGACTCCCTAAATTTTCTATATGCAGAAGTTTTCTTCTGCATTCTGCATACTTTCTATATGCAGTCCCTGTTGGAGCAGAGAGGTTGGACTAGATGATCTCTAGAGGTCTCTTCCAACCTTCACCATACTGTGATTCTGTGAAATTCCAAGTGTATTTTATATATTCTTCCTCAAGAGCAGAAAGCAAGAGGAGAATGAAATTCTCTTTTGTTTTATCACCTGCACGAAAAGTTAGGCCAGTAAGTTCACCTTGTCTCCTTACTGCTGAGACTGCAGAAGGTTGGCCATTGAGCAAGAAGTAGGCACCACCTCATCCAGAGCCCACTGRCATTCTTGGGAACTTTCCCTTGCCTCTGATAGGTTTTAGATKAAGGAATCACAATGAGGCAGTTGAATCAGTGACATTTATAATCCAGGAATTCATTTTTCTTRAATCTCACTGAACATGCATAATAGGGGACTGTCTATTCCAAATTACAGTGAAAGAGCTGTACATACGGTGTTTCCCTCATTTCTTAGAGGGAAACTTAGAACCCTTTTTTTACTCCCTAGGTTTAATATTCTTTTCCTCTTGCAAATACCCTGGGCCCAATTAAGTAAGATTGGTTTATTCCTTTGCGAGCACAATGACCTCTCCTGTAATTCCCTTGGGGTTGTGTCTTGCTGGGGATGAGCATTATGTGAGGAATCTGTGGAACTGCAAACGTTCGTGACAACCTTGCATTAAAGCCAACATGAGACCAACTCTCCCGACATTTCACTAGTTGTGACAGCCACCTCATTACCGAGCAGGTGAATAAGTTCAGGAAACCACTTGTGTCTGTRTATTGTCTAGCACCTCAGAGGGGGGCTCAGTATGTACTCATGCTCATACTTCAATGGGGTAATAGGAACAAGTCCATTGATGAGAATTCACTGGAGTCTTTTTAATAAAACATTTATGGAAGCAGATTTTAGGACAGACCATGATAAAAAAAATGATTAATGCAGTGTTTGTTTAAAACTCTTCGAAAGGAAACTCCACCTGTCCACCTCAGAGAGCCACCAGGCTACTAAAAGACTATTAATCATTAGCAAGGTCATTTCCAGGGCTTCCCTGGCCCTAAAATTAAGCCACTGTTTGTGATTATGAAAATCCAATTACCCGACACGTTTTCCCAGTTGTTTGCTTAAGCCGGGCACTTTCTTTAAATACACGTTCCCRTGTTTATTCAGCACTCTGGAGAAAGGCCTCGCCCAGGCCCCGGGCCGCAGCGTTTCGTTCTCGCTCCAGGCCCTGGCAGCGGCGCCGCTGCTCGCGGCCCTCCGAGAGCCATTGCTCCTTGACCCGCGCATTTCAGACGTGGGAGGCGCTTCCTCCTGCGCCCGCCGCCGCTCTGCGCAGGCCTTGGTGCGCGCGGGGCTGCCCGCGCCGGTGGAAGGAAGCCATTAATGAGCTGGGTGAGCAGCGCCGGCCATGGCCGCTGGGAGGGAGCTGCGTTCACAGCCGAGGCTCCCGCTGGCATGAGGGCAAGCTCCGCAGGGCGATTCTCTCTGGGTTTTACTGCAGCGACAACAGGAAAGACGTTGCCCTTGCCCTGGGCTCTTTCTCTAATACTCACAGACTAGGTCTGGGTCCTGATTCTCTTCTCCCATGGATATATCTCATGAGCAAACATGCACTGAGTTCAGGGGTGTTTTGCAGGGCTACGCTTCCACTGAAAGAGCACAATGAGCCAAAAGATTTCCAGCGTTTGCTATCTCACTGGAGCCTTTTCTAGTGCCAAAATTAAAAATGATCTTTAAAAATCTCCTGCGTATCCAGTTTTATGTTTTAACGGAATGATTCAAAAAAAAGATAAATGAAAATCTGTAAGAAAATGGCAACTGAGAAAATGTCAGATTCTGCTTTCCTGCTCTTTGAAAGAATGGCTGCAAGAGGACGTGGCCATGTGGCTGAATAGATGTGATKACTGAAACTGCGGTTGGGTGTAGGAGTGCAAGGCACAGTAAATGAAAAGAGGGCATAAGGCTGCTTTGTTATTAATCCTGTATCTCAGCTAAAATAAATAAAAATAACATACTGCACAACCCTAATAGACTTCAGAAAATAAACCAGATCCCTACTGTTAAAAAATAAAAAATAGAAAAGTGGCATTACAGAGGATTTTAAAAAATCCTTGAAAAGGACTGAACATACTGCCATTTTCTTTAAGYCTTGGGCAAACAGTTACAACCTTTCCAATATGCAACTGCTGCAT